CTCTCTCTCTCTCTCTCTCTCTCTCTCTCTCTCTCTCATGAATACGCACACATGTTTTTACAGTAATTAAAGATGACTTATGAATGAATCTGAATATATACAGGGAATCGTGACGTCTAGCATTTCATACTATGTCCAAGGAATTGTGATGAAGACAAAAGGGCCAGTGTTTGCCACTGCTTTTAGCCCCTTAATGATGATTATTGTAGCTATCATGGGCTCATTTATTCTTGCAGAAAAAATCTATCTTGGAGGGTAATTTCTCTTCCCGTCACACATACAAGTTCGATTTCTTGAACTAGACGATACTAAGCCCCTATTTGGTAAAAATTAAAATTTAGATTTGAATCTAAGTCAAAATCAATAACTAATTTTACATATTTTATGAGATCCACAACTTTTCAACCATACATTTCATTAACTTTTATCAAAATTTAATTTTAATACCACTAAACAGGGGCTAAATAGAGCTAACTCTATCCAATTTGTCTAGTACTGCATATTGAACTTGCCTGGAAAAATACTTCAAGTTATGGACAGTTTTTCCATCAAATTATGAGAATACTAATCCATTTTTTTTTCCCCTTTTTGTGGATGAACAGTGTGATTGGTTCGATTATAATTGTGATTGGTCTCTACTCGGTTCTTTGGGGCAAGTACAAGGAAGAAAAAGAGAACAAGAAACTGAATGAAATTCCAGAAGTCATCAAGGATAATAATATTCACACACAGGGAAATGGCAACATAAAGGTGGAAACTGCTGGAAATTCCGAGCCAAATGGAGATGCTGATTTTGACAAGTGCCCCTCACTTGCTATTAATTTGCCCCTCCACCAGACAAAGTCTGACACTGATACCAAATAACTTTTTCTCTTTTTTTTGGGTATTTTAAGATTTTGGGATTTTCAGAGATTTTGTTAAGTTTTATGCATGTAACAAGTAGTACTTATTATGTGCAAGAAAAGAGAACCCATCAAACTCTTTTGTTATACGAAAAGTTCCACAGCATAATATGACAGTATAGCAACCATTTCATATCATGGCAAAGAAACAATCGTCAAGATGCACGGTGACAAAAAAATTGTGAGATTTAAATTATGTTACACAAAATTTGGCTGATTTTTTTGTCTTTCTTTTCTCAATTAATTAGGCTATCTCCTTGGTATTGGCCAAGTTTGTAATGTTTTCATGCATTAAAGATCAAACTGTGTGTTCGTTCTAACTTTACAATTGAGTATTCTATTCGTTTTACATAATAACCAAAAATCAATTATGATACATATTCCTTCTTTAATTATGCGTTTCTTAACATGCTAAATTGACCTAACATAAAATATATCGAACTACAATATTTTGATTCGGACAGCAAATCGAACAACATATTATTGATTTCCATAATATGTAATTTTCAAATATATTCTTCTCTTTGATTAGTTGACAAAACTATTGGAATTAACAAGATTCTTATTCTTGGATTCCATAATCTTTTATTCCTTTTCATCCCTTAAGCAGTGGATTCTACTGCTGTCCAATTCAGAGGTGTCTGAATCCATTTCAGCTTATTATTATTATTATACTCATTACTCAATTAATTTTCTTCATTTGGCTATGTCCACTCTTCATTCATGTTAATCAAAAATAAATAATATATTAAGGTGGTACACTTTAGTATCGGAAACTTGCAGATAGTGGTGGAGTCTGGACTTTTATAGGGGAAATTTACAAAATACACCGTATATAAAGGGTATAATTACACTTACTTACATACAATGTTTGTTAAAAGCTAAAATAAATTGGTATGTAAAGTGTTAATTAATATTATTGAAATTGTGTGATTTGTTATCTTTTATTATGGGTATTTTGGTCTATCGAC